AGAGCCAGTCAAAGGTGCACATTCAGTAAATAACCTACTCTCAAATGTTACACCTAATACCTCTTCAAACTTACTTTTGGGTGTGAAAGCCGTCCTTTGGGTAAAAAGGAAGGAGCTTTTCTTCTATTAATATATATTACACTGAACTCTGTATTCCTTTACAACCACTGTACAGTGCAGCTCAATAGATTTAGCAGAGACCTTTCCCAATCTTTGCTGTTCTGCCTTGGCCACTCTTTTGTATCTCTCAGTATCTATTATGTGTAATTCAGAAATGCAAAATAATCCCTTAAAGTATTGCCAGGGATGCTAGATCGCCTCATGGCTTGTGTTAGTGAGCATCATTTCTTGACCTTAATGTCCAGACCTGCCTGATATCTGGGATGGATCCCATGCATATTGGATCCTGTAATTAATTCTGAGGAATATCATCTTACAATCATACAACCAAGAAATAAATAGGGGTGATGCTTATTATATTCAATTGGTGGAAAAGCAGTTTAATTTTTGAAATACAAGTAACTTAAATGCATAGGCAGTGTGGTGAGAGTTATCCTATTGTTTGTTTCACCACTGTAGTAAACAAAAAGTTTTCACTCATTTTTGAAATGGTTGCAAAAATAGATGATACAGTCCCTTCAAATACCTGCAGCCATTTTATTTGATCAAAACAAAAGGGCAGTAGATAATATCAAATCGATCATGGAGGAGGGGTGGAATGGTAGTTTTGTGACTTTGTAATTGGCCATTTTCATGGTGTTAGATTTTGTGATTAAGGGGTGGGAAGCAAGTTGGCAATTGCTCATGTACCCTGACAAAATGCTGCCAGTTGACCTGTTGCTAAGAACGACATAACCATTTTATAATTTTGTGTGCTAGCATAGAAACCTGGTACAACCTTTAAACTCTAATTGTTTCATTTAACTGGATATCAAAGCTGTGCATTCAGTAAATAACCTACATGATTAAGTATGAGGTGATAGGAGAGTGTTGCCCACCGCAGCTGTAATGTACTTTGCTAGCTTTCACTCAAAATTTCAGGAGTATGAACATAGTTAATAGAGGGGAATGGTTTTAGGGCTGGCAAACATCAAAGGAGTAAACAAAGATTTCAAGACTTTTGTTGGAAGGTCCATGACCTCTCTGTACCTGAATATTTTCCTTGCCTGTGTAAATCTTACCATTTAACACATGGTCACATTTAGATTCAGCTAGGGTGAAGGTTTTATTCCAAATCTCCCTGGCTCGATTGGGATAAGTTGTCTGAAGTGTAATTTCCCTTTAAACTTGATCAGTGTTTCGTTGGTAGCAAAAGTTGCCTATCAGGCAAATACACCTCCTGAAACCTGGCAATAACTAAGTTCAAGAAAAGCTGAATTTTGTACTCGTCTGAGTCAGGTGAGGGAGGAATGTTATTTTCAGCAAAGTGTAGGTACCACCAAATTTGTAGAAATGTAGTGCAAACATTGCAGAAGCAAAGAAAGGAGAGCTTATAACAGGATTGGTACTCAATTAAACTGTAATTCTTGCGTTAGTCACCAATTCCATACTGAAATAATGATTAAGCCAAGCTTCCATGTCATGAACAGTAATTGGGTACTATACAGAAATTTCTACTGGTCCCCTCTTCTGTTCAGCATATAAAGTTTGTCTGATCATCCCATTGTTCTCTGCAGTGTTGTCATATATGTCTCCTTTTGATGATGGTACTCTGGGAGTGTTCAAGTTGGAATAGGAGTCTGACTTGCTCTTTTGACTAGGGGTGAAGGAAAGAAGATGGAACCATGCACAGGGTTAATTGCAATTGACCTGAAATGGTAATTTGTGAAGAAAGTTGCTGGGCTGTACAGGCACAGACAGCCATAATCAACAGTACAACACTGTAGACATCAGATCACGTCTGAAGGGGGTATTGAAATGCACAGTTGGATCCACGTTTGTGCTCCTGCTCAGTAGTAACCTTACTTGAAGTGTGACATACTTAAACGGAGTAGTTGGATAAACTTTCATAAGTGTGCTTGATGAACTGCTCTAATCTAGGTAAGAGGAGGACTGGTATGCTCTAAGCCAGTGAGTCACATATGTTATTTTCTTTTTTCCTTATCAACATGGCACATTGTTCCTAGACAACCTCACCCGGATCCCATTGCAATGAATACACTGTCACTTGAATCCTTACCCACATTAACACCAAAGAATAAACTTGTTGGCTTTGACTGACCATCTGGAAGAGAGTGAGCTACTAATGCCTCTACGTTCAATGTGTGACCGATGTTAACAGAAAGAGTTTTTTAATGTGAAATATCTGGATTGTCAGGCAACCAATGTACATGATCAGATGAGATCCATGGATCACAACAAAGCTTTACCATTTCATCTGGTGACATTTGAAGACCATCGATCTGCTTATCAAATTTTCCTTTGTAAAGAAGATTTTGGAACTTTTTGATAGAATAAGTGCCAGGGTGGCTTATCACAGAAAGGGGGGGGGGAGGGTAGGTCAATGCAAACCACTTGAGTTTCTTCTCGACTGCTCTTGTAATATCTATATTTAATTTTTCTCAGTAAAGAAGATTTCAAAACTTATTTCATGGAATTAGTGGCAGAATGGCCTATCACAGATAGGGGGTGAGGGTAGGCTGATGCAAAGTAGTTGAGTTCTTTCTTAACTGCTCTGGTTTATTGCCTTGGTAATCTGAAGAATGTCTTCAATTCCATGGTGATCAAAACAGCCCAAATACAGTTTTGTGCAAAAGTAATGCAAATGGAATTTGGCAAATTTTGTTATTTGTTCTAGCAATCTTTCATTGAAAGTTTGAACGAAAATTCTATCGAAAGTTTGAGGCCTGTTAAGCAACATTTTATTTGAACAAAAAACACCTTTTTGTTGAATTTTTGCCACAAAGTGAAAAATTCGTGGCATAATGTCTCTTCGATTATTAGTGTTCGAAATTTTGCTTTGAACTGACAATAGCCTTCTGTGAGGGGTCAAGTTTTTTTTACCATTCATGTAAGCAACAGAAAATATTTTTAAACATATTTCCAACCTTTGTCAGTCACCACCACAGAGACAATCAATGTTTGAGACCAAACACAGTAGACTGAAGGACTAAACACCAAAAAGTCATCACATCAGATTCTGGTCTCGCTCTGTGGATGACAATAAAAATTGGATAAATTGTCTTAAGCATCTTACAGTAATTCCGACTATGATACATGTACTAGGCTGAAATTATCTCCCAGACAAATCCAGATATTTTTTTCATCAACTTCAGTTTCCTGATGTTTAATCAAGGGTAAACCATCATATCTGGTTCAGTGTTTAATCAGTTTACAACGACAAAAGTAAATTGAGATGAATAGCAATTGCAACCAAGAGACATGTATGTGGTGGAAATAAACTCTCAAATGATTGGAATAGTTTTTAACATTAACTTTGGTACTTAGCTTTTTAACCAGACAGAGCATTGTCAATCAAGAAATACGTTCCTTGTTTATTCGTTCTCAATCCCTGTGCAAATAGACAGCACCCATATCGCTTATTGCTTTCCAGATATCACAACACCCATGTTTGTTTGGAAATGTTTATTCTTCACAATTAATGTTTATTAAAAAAAACACTAGCTTCAGAGTGTGTAAAGTATTTTAGCATTTAAGCATTTTTCCAGTAGTACTGGAAAAGGTCGCTGGTAACCCATCGCATAGAGTACTAAAGTGTGACATCACGCTTCCATGGCAACCAAATGTTCTGTTCTAAACAAAGTGTGTCAAGCATAGCATTACAAGCGCGGCTTTCGACTCCTTTCCTTGTTTATTCGTTCTCAATCCCTATGCAAATAGACAGCACCCATATCGCTTATTGCTTTCCAGATATCACAACACCCATGTTTGTTTGGAAATGTTTATTCTTCACAATTAATGTTTATTAAAAAACACACTAGCTTCAGAGTGTGTAAAGTATTTTAGCGTTTAAGCATTTTTCCAGTAGTACTGGAAAAGCTCACTGGTAACCCATCGCATAGAGTACTAAAGTGTGACGTCACGCTTCCATGGCAACCAAATTTTCTGTTCTAAACAAAGTGTGTCAAGCGTAGCATTACAAGCGAGGCTTTCGACTCCTTTTCAGTTTTTCTGCCTTTATTTTCATGGCTTCCTTTATTGAGTGGACTGTAAGTTTTTTGTGTAACTTTTGATGACATAGACGAAAATTTATTCGTTTGAAAGAAGATCTTAATCGTCAACTGAGCAGACAGAGAGCCGAAGTTAGAGGTGAAAGATCGACTGCTTTCTCAAAAGAGAAAAAATATTATTACCCTTGGCAGTTTGATGAGGAGGAGTTTTATTTTGTATTAGTTCATTTTGGTGGGCGACATTGTTGCTGATTTAGAATAAACAATATTAAAGCACTCGTTTGTAATAGCTTTAGATGTCGCACAGTGCTACTCTAAAATTACTAACTAGTACTACTTAGTGAACTTATTTTGTTTATATAAACTTACAGAAGAAAAGACAGGGAACCAGGGAATCACTCCAGAATATGTAGTTGTCACTTCAGAGATGGGAAAAAGAGTGCTGGCCCAGAAATTTACACACGTAATGCTGACAAGTTGTTTCTATCAGAAAGATTACCTTGAAAAAGGAAAAAACAGAGCACTACACAGAGCACTAGTGTGCATGACATGGTGCAGGCCATTCGGGCCAAAGAAGAGGAGGCACTTCCTTTGCAAGAAAAACCTTCAATAAGCGAGATTATTCTTGAAGCCGAACTTGATCTTGCAAAGAGGGAACTTGAGCAGCAGAGAGAAGCTGCACAGTACCAGAGAACACATTATTCTGCATCAACTCTTACCACAGATGTTCTTCGTATGGAAACTGGACTACCAACAAAAGAGGTTTTCCAGATTGTAGTAAATTATGCCTCTAGATTTAAAGATTCTTTGTCATACTATGCAGGTTGGAGGGTGGAGTCAATAATTTTTGAAGATCAAATTTTAATCACCCTCATGAAACTGAGACAAAACTATACTAATCTCCACATAGCTCAGTTATTCTCTTGTAGTGTTGTTACCATTTCAAATGTAGTTACAACATTTGTTCATGTTTTACACAATATCTTATTTGATGATTTGATGACCACTATCCCTTCTAGGGAGAAAAACAAATTATGCTCTCCTTCATCATTTTCAATGTTTACTAGCTGTAGAATAGTTATTGACTGTACAGACATTGAAATTGCAGCACCCAGTCTTATGAGTCAACAGAATGCACTATATTCAAACTACCAAGGCATGAATTCTTTTAAAGTTATAGTTGGGGTGGCACCCAATGCAGTTATAACATATGTAAGCAAACTGTATCCAGGATCAATTTCAGATAAGGAAATTGTCAAACAGTCTGGTCTAATGAACCATATGGCAAGTGGTGACCTGATCTTTGCAGACAAGGGGTTCTTAATTCAAGACATTGTCCCAGAGGGTGTTTCTGTGAACATTCCTCCCTTCTTACAGAATGGAAAATTCACTTCCAGTGAGATCAGGGCTACTACAAACATTGCAAAATGCAGAATTCACATCGAAAGGGCTAATGCACGGCTGAAGGATTTTAAGATACTAAACTTTGTACCCCCCTACTTAAGATGTGCTGCCCTTGTAAATCTTCAGTTTCCACTGATAAAGGAAGGATGTGAAGGTGCAGAATTTGAGTAAAGATGTGCATGTAATGGAGAAATTGAGAGAGTATTTAATTAATATGTATTAGCTTTGATGCTTAGGGGACTAAGACAATCAATTAACCTTGATGTATTGTTTTTGTTGTTTTCTTTAAGCTTGAGAATCAACTTTAAATTCCAACATGTCAGAGTTAGCCCATCTATTTGGCCTTTATGTTTAGAAAATAAGGGTGCATTTTCTATTTTTGTAATGTATAGTATGTTAACAAAATAATAGAGCATTTGTCTGAAGTCACATACAGTAAAGCCAGCATTTTCAGCTGTAAATAAATGCAACTCTAATCTTAAATGTTATAGAAAACACAACATCAAGAATATTTGATTATTCTAAAAAAAATTGGTTTGTTTTCATTACTGAACATGGAAGGTTGCTGTTCTTGTTATTGTTCCAGTACTAAAATTGTCTAACGGGAACATGGTACAAACTTCCGGCTGGTTTTAAACCTTGCAATAATTCTTCAAACTATAGTTCTCCCTCAACAATTTTGGGGAAGAGGTGTTTAAAGTAAAATTCCCTGAGCCTGGTAAGGTTTTCTTCCCAGGATGGATCCTTCATGATTTCAATAATTACACACCAGTGATTTGTCCAAACAACAAAGTGACAGTAATTTCGTTTGGCTTAGTACATTTGCCCTTGCACTTGGTGCCAGTAGACATGATTCCTTTTTAGTGAGTACGATCCATCCTCTTTTTCTCCAAACAAAATGTGTCACTTTTCAAAGCTTCCTCAATACTTGCATCTCTGAATGTATAGGAACACTTCGCCTCTAGAACATGGTCTTCACCCACTAATCCATCAGGGGAAGCTCCAAGAATGCCTGACTCGTCAAGCCACACCCCCGTCTCAACAACTTCAAGATGAGTTTTGGCAGTAAATGTTTTGATGGCTTCAGCCTCATTTGTGACTCCCCATGCCACAGCTTTGACACGTGAGATGTCATATTCCCCCAAGAGACGCTTAATAAGGGATGGGGTAACCCTCTTAGCAATGATGACGGAGCCAAAATTGCTTGCAGTCAAGCGCCCCTTCCTTACTAAATGCCAGGAGGGATTGTTTCTCTGACCAACTGTTAAAGAGCTGATTTGATTTACAATTTCTCTCTTGACCTTTAATTTCGGTCTGATAAACTCTAGTTGTTCAGCAGCAGTAGATAGAGTGAGAAATTCCCCAGAAAAAATTTGCTCTTCCACGGTTAAGACAGGTAGATCCCCCAGTTGTTTTGGCTCTGGGCTTAACAGCCAGCATAGGCCAGTGAACTTTCCATATGCTCGCAATTCTGAATACAGCGCTTCTCGATTGCCTTGATTTGGTTGTCGGAGTAAGGCTGTATATCCTGGCTTGGTTGGAGGAAACATTTCAGAAATAGATTTCCGAGAAATATCAGGTGCATTCCGTTTTTTCCATGAACACTCAACATCAGTCCGACTCAAGTTATAAATTCCATAGATGAACAGAGCTGCAGCATGGCTACATTTATAAGCTTCCCGTGGACACTCGCACTCGCTCGATTTAATCGCATTGTTTTGGTTAAGGTATATCTAAAAAGAAAATTATAAAAAACAAAGTTTAACAGTGTTTTTCTATAAGCTTTCATTTCAATGGTGGTCATTTACCGCATTTCACTTACCGTCACGTTATACACTTTTTTTTTCATACTAGTGTAAACCTGTCCCTTCAAAACACCTTGACTTGCACTAAAGCTTTCCTCATGGTTAGATTTGAAGTGATTTTCACCTCGTGAAACAGATTTATTCTCATTTTCGAAGAAAGAAAGTAGAGATGCAATTGTTAGCACCGCCATCTTGTTTCACGAACGTTTGTTTAGAACAGGAAATTTGGTTGGCATGGAAGCGTGACATAACTGCTTTAGTACTCTATTTTAACGCTTTCAGTATTTCAGTTGGATGGAGGCCTTGCTTGTGGAAAATCTTGATTTTTTTTTAGAATAATTTGAAACTTTTGCCATGATGACTATCAAAAGTAGAGTATGTAAATGATCTCAAACGCATCAACACAATTGATACACTGAGTGTTGCCATGGTTGCAAACAACTTAGGTCGTGTGCAGACTCAAATCATGGCAGGAAATTCCATTGGAGTTTTACATAGAGCAGTACCAAACCACAAATTCAACCAAATCTTTTTGAGAGGAATGAACAATAGCAACAAATTTTCATCCGGAATATTCGCCCCATAGAATGAATTGTTTGCTCAAATTTCAAGTTACATTAACACCATCAAGGAATATGCTGCTGAAAGTTTGAGCCGTTTAAAACAATACATGCCTCAAAAATTTGTGGAAAGGTCATCAAAGTTTTGTTTCAGCCAAGAATTCATTGAAAAGGTAGGAATTTTGTGAAATTTCATCGACAGGTGTTTGCATTACTTTTGCACAATATTGTAACTTTCTGCGCAGCAATAGCTCTTTGGATCAGATTTCTTCACGTGCCTCATTTCATCCTTCCATGATTCCATGGTTAGCTTATCTGGAATGACTACAAACTCAGGAAACTAGATGTTTGTTTTGGTTGGTCGTGAACTTCCATCTTCTTATTTCTGGGCCTTTTTAGGTGAGGAAAACCTTTTAAAAGCTTGAAATCTGGTTAATTTACTCAGAGTTCCTGAGGTGCAGGCTTTGCTATTTTCCTTAGCCGCAAACATCTGTAATATAGAAAAAGATTACAAGCTAGGTTATGCCATAGCTTTACATTTATACTTTGCAGCGAAAGCCATTCAACTTACTCAGCATGCAAGAAACAGAAAAGTAAGACACTGATAGCTTCTGCAATGGGACAAAGACAATAGTATTCAGAAAAGTTTCTCAAAGAGAAAAATGATTTCTTGATAGCTGCAAGACAGTCGTGCTTGAAATGAAATAAGAAACTTTTCAATGGTTTTCTTCCTGTTATCTACAACGTTAAATACATTTTTATGTATGCAAGTCATTTTGGAGGAATTCCCCCAGCCGAATGTTAGAAATAACCTGACTCTACTTTACTTTTGGCACACACATGACAACTTAGTTTTCACTGAAAATGGATGTTAAACCTACAGTCTAACAATTCTCTACATTCATCACATCATTCCAATAGTGGAAGCTATATTTTCATATCACTTTACATGACTACCCTATGTCTGAGTTGTGTTTTGTGTTTACTACAACAATGCATTGATGTTTTATTCCTAAATTAAATACCTAACTTCTTAAACTGTGACAACTCAATTCGATCACTGCTAGGTTTCTTGGTGGTTGTGTTTTCTCAAATTGTGCTGACAAGCGTGGTATTGCCTTATAGCTTTTTGGCTGTTGGTATTGTCTTTTAGTTCCTTGTCTCACGGAATTAAATCATCTTTGAAATGAACAATCAGCATACCTGTCTGGCTATTATTCGAAAGTGTATGATGGCTGTCTTCAGAAGTTCTAGCTGGAAAATCATCCTCAGAGTGCATTGTCTTCATAAATGAGCCATGTACCATGCCATGGTTCAATGACATGCCAGTGTGTTTTAATTGCAGCCTTCCTTGCCCTGAGTGTAGAAGGGAACTCGAATTGGATACTCTGATGGAAATGTCTACAGTCCACATCCTGATGAAATATGACACCATTCTTACTTACTTTGACGTTCTTGAAGGCACAAGTTTTCCCTCCTTGAACCTGATTAGTATATTGTTCCCAGAGAGTTATCTGAATAGAACCAAATGGATCTCTTAGGGTTGCTTCCACCTTACTCATAGGGCCCATTAATGGTGTTAGCATTTTTTTCTTGCAATAAGTACTTAGGTAATGGATGGTATGCTGACAGTTGTTGGGATTGTGACTGGTTTAAAGGTGAGTAGTGGTTCCACTTGGTTTCTAGAGCTCATCAGTCCACTCTTTGTACCTGCTGTTGTATCATTGTTAAATTTCTTGATTTTGATTGGGCTTGTCTGCTCACTGAACTTTTGAAGTCATTATGTTTTGCTGCTGAGAAGCATACCCCTCTCACAACTTCTGTTTGTGTTTGAATTTGCATGTTGAACCACAGGGTTTTAACACTCTTCTTTGAAAGGAGATGTTGTTGAATTTATGTTGTGAATGTAGCCAGTGAGTTCATCATCCATTTTTCAGGAACAAAAGTAGCAACTATAAATTTGACTGTTCACTGGTCATTTGGTTGGCCATTTCTTGTAATCTTATCTTCCATCACTTTTCCTACCATCTCCCCTTCTTTTAGGTCAGTAATGGAAACTGCAGCTCCTACTTCTGGGAGGTTCACTCAGTTATGTATCTTATTTGCATGATTGGTCTTATCCCTCTGCATTCTCATTTCTTCTGTCCCGTTGATGTTCACTTTGCCACATAACTTTGAATGTTCTGTTCAAATAGATTGTAGTTCTTTTAAATTGTAACATTTCTTTTAGGGATGACCACAGCCACCTCTGCAATGTTAGTTTTGTGACAGGTTTCATTTTCAACTTTTAACCTTCAGTACTTTTGAGGTTTTGATAACTGCCTAATAAGATTTCATCTCCTACCTGGCTTCTATCTTCTGTGGGTTTACAGAAGATTCCAATGGGAGGAATATTTTTCTTTCCTTTTGTGCAAACTGGGGCATAAAGTTCACCATGAGGGGGTAAAAAAGGGAAGAAAAGGGGGGAGAATGGGGAAAAAGGAGGATTGCTGTAGTTCACAAAAGTGAGCTTAATTTGAAAAAGAAAAGGTAACAGCATGGTGCATATTTCACTAAAATTGACAGTTTAAGTTGGGTAAATTGCACAAAAAGGAGATCAAAGAGGTAGACCTAAGTTGTTTACAACCATGGCAACACTCAGTGTATCAATTGTGTCAATGGTTTGGGATCATTTACATACTCTACTTTTGTTAGTCATTGTGGCAAAGTTTCAAATTACTCTATTAAAAAAAAAATCAAGATCCTCCACAAGCAAGGCCTCCATCCAGCTGAAATACTAAAAGCATTGAAACACAAAGGGTTACTAGTGAGCTTTGCCAGTACTACGTGTATCATTAGAAAGTTGCATCTCACCAGTTCCGTGGCAAATTTACCTCGATCAGGGAGACATCAAAAGCTGTCTATGGAAGCGAACGGTGTATGTGGGAACAGTGCAAAATAAGTATTGGCAAAAGATATGGCATGCCAAACACGTCAAAAGTGAAAAAATCTGTTGAGCACCAATTGAGAAATAAAGTTTGTTGTTTGAGAATTGTGAGTTGGTGACTGAGAAATATAATCTACTGTTTGAAAACAAGCATTTGGTAGGTGAGAAATAATATTTGGTGGTTGAAAAACAATGCCTCAGAAAAAAAAGTTACTTGTTGAAACACAATTCACAAGGCTAGTAATTATTCAAATTTGCCACCATTTTTTATCATTGTGGATCTGCTAAAAAGACTTTTTACATCAACTATTGTAATATTTATTCATCATAATAATTGTGATGAAATTATTTTTTGTATTGGTGGCAGTCAAACTGAAAGCGAACATGAAGCAATCCTTGATGGCCCTGAGCTTGATGTTGATGCCCCCAATGCTGAACCTGAACCTGTTGCAGAGAGCAAGATTTCACTGGAAGTAGCATATGAAGCAGCCTAGAAGGAGATTGAAAGCCTAAAAGCTCAAATTGCAGCTCTCAAAATACATCCATCTGGACTTGAGCACTTTTCTGACAATGTTAGTATTATATTTTATTCTGAATTTCTTAGCTATAAACATTTTTAAAATTTCTATCATTTTGTTGAGCCTTCTGCACAACATATGAAATATGTTTATTCTGCAGGTATGCAAGCCAGGAGGCCCTCTGTTCGTAATATGCTCTTGATTGATGAGCTGTTTTTATTTTTAGGTAGAATCAGGCTTGGCCTGTTTGCACAAGATTTTACAGATAGATTTTTTATAAGCACATCATCTGTTAGCGGGAAAATAACCACCTGGGTAAATTGTATGTATTTTTTACTTGGCACCCAGCCAGTCTGGGTTTCTAGGGAGCAAATTGATGCATCTATGCTGCAAGCTTTTAAAGACCTATATCCAACAATAAGGGTGATAATAGACTGCACAGAGTTACATGTGTAGACCTCATCATCATTATTGCTTCAATCTCAACTGTATTCATCATGTAAAAGCAATACCACTCTGAAAGGACTCATTGATATTGCTCTTCAAGGAGCAGTTACATTTGTATCCTCACTTTACACAGGTTCCATATCAGATAAGGAAATCACTTGCTGCTGTGGTTTATTAGATCTCTTAGAAGACAACAACTTTGTGGTGGCAGACAAGGGGTTTGACGTTGAAGATATATTACATAAAAAGAAAATAAAGTTGAATATCCCTCCATATCTCCAAAGTAAGGGCCAGTTTTCAGTAAGGCCATCCCAATTTAATGCTTTGTTTCCCATTGCCCGACCGACCCATTTTTTTTGGAAAAGTTAAAAAAAAAAGTTCTTGTCGTATTTACACCAATTGTCATAAATTAATATCGATAAAACATTTTTAAAGCCTTTTTAGACATTTGACAGTAGTTTTGATATACATCTTTTACCATCGGATTATATCTTCAAGACCAAATGTGTCAGACCAAATGTGTCAGGATTCTTTTCAGCTGCAGCCCGCATCTCCTTCATGTTGGTGGGAGTCTTGATTAATTCCTCCTTCTCTTTACTCATTTCCTCCCGAGAAAGTGAAACCCCACTAAGTGCTAAGTTCAACACAGACATTATACGCTCTGTTGGATTTGCCCACGAGTTACCAGGACAAGTGTTGATTCCTACAACCATATCTAGATTGTGCCTCTGGAAAGTTGA